AAGGGGGAGGGTGGCTGGGGGTGGGGGTAAAAGCGAAAAGGAAAAGGGGGAAGAAAAAGAATAACTTTACCATGTGAGTTCTTTGAGAAAATGACTGATCAAGAACATTTTAGTTTGTCTAATTATTATAACTTCTATATTCATCTTCGCAAAGTATAATGAAATTAACTCAAATGGCAACAGTATTTTGTGGTACTAAATTGTTCCATGATTTCGTGAAAAGAAAGCAATTTATGGACCTTTGATGGGAGGGGCGAAGTGTTGAATAAGGTGTAAAGTGTATTTTAGTGAAGTTATGACAGTAATTGTTATAAATAATTCCCTAGCACTCTCCCCTCGGATAGTTTATTTAAATTTGATGATAGTGGATAAATGAAACAGGTTGTTATACACCAATATTTAACCTCTGCAGCTGGTAAACCTAGAGGTTGAACCAGATGTGAAGAATGATTCTAGGTTTTATTAATATAGGATATTGCTTCCATAAAGGAGGGGGAGAAGAAAGAGGAGTTAGGGAAATAGTATGAGGAAGAGAAAGAGAAGATGAAAAAGGTGGTGGAAGATAAGAAATAAGAGAAATAGTTTGAGGAAGAAAAAGAGAAGATCAAATGGAGGAGGAGGAAGAAAAGTGTTGTAGAAAGAAAATAGTGGATTGAGGATAGAAGTATAGAGATTTAGATAAGTATAATCTTAAGAGACGGCGGAGAAGAAGGTCGTAATAAAAGAGTGGAAGTGTGAAAATCCAAATATGAAGAGTAAGAAGAAGAACAAGAAGAATTAGAGTAGTAGTTCAAGGAGGAGCATAATATAATAAAAAAATGAGATGAGGAGGAAACGATGAAGAATATCTGAAAATCTGCTGGAGTAATAGATTTGAAGAACCCTTGATATCCTTGTGATGACCAGTACTTCTCAACCCTCTCAGCTCAAGGACGGAGAAGGATAAAACTTATTCCTTAAATACTTCCAATTATACTTGATAACTAGAGAGGATGGTTCTGGTTGTATTTTCACTAACACCCGTTATAGTCTTAATAGTCTTGAATAAAAGCTTTCAATCCGAGTAGAATGGTTTGAGGCTTTTATCTAAAATAAAATGATTTCAAGTAATGTTTCTAAACTCGGTAGAAACTGTTGAAATTTCAGGAACAAGTTCTTGAGTTTTCTTTAAATAAAACTTTTCTCTCTAAAGACTGAAGAAGAGAAGACTTTTCCAACTTTATCCAGGCATACAGTTACTCAAGGTTTTAAAGAGAAAACAAGGATACAGTTACTCAAGGTTTTACAGAGAAAACAAGGATACAGTTACTTAAGGTTTTACAGAGAAAACAAGGATACAGTTACTCAAGGTTATACAGAGAACACAAGGATACAGTTACTCAAGGTTAATACAGAGAACACAAGGATACAGTTTCTCCGGGGTACTCAGAGAACACAAGGATACAGTTACTCAGGGGTACTCAGAGAACACAAGGATACAGTTACTCAGGGGTACTCAGAGAACACAAGGATACAATTACTCAGGGTTATACAGATAATACAAGGATACAGTTACTCAGGGTTACTCAGAGAACACAAGGATACAGTTACTCAGGGGTACTTAGAGAACACAAGGATACCTTATCAGGGTTATAAAGAGAACACAAGGATACAGTTACTCAGGGGTGCTTAGAGAACACAAGGATACGCTTACTCAGCGATACTCAGAGAAAACAAGGATACATTTACTCAGGGGTATTCAGAGAACACAAGGATACAGTTACTCAGGGGTATTCAGAGAACACAAGGATAAAGTTAATCAGGGGTATACAGAGAACACAAGAATATAGTCATTTATGGTTATACAGAGAACACAAGAATACAGTCTTTTATGGATAAACAGAGAACA